TAATACGCAATCTGACTTACGGTTTCTTCAGGTTTATTCTTAGTTACGGATACATAATAAAGGATGTTACAGCATAGTGGACATTCAACAGCAGATGGTAATTGCTGTACTTCTGATGGGAGAGTTACCGAGAGTGACCTCGTGTCCCTCTGTTACTATAAAGATGTGCTAATACTCTGTACCTTCAATACTACTCTTCATTAACGTGCTTCCTAATTTATCATGTATGTTGTCCTTGAGCATATTTTCCATCTATGTATTATGCTCCAGCTTTGTCCTTCACGTAAGGATTGGAACATTACTTACTTACTGGAGTTAGATGGACTATGATGCAATTACAGATAAAAAAAACAAAGACGCAAAACATACAAACCAAGACAGTTTGTAACTGGTTAATTTAGGAATGACAATAACTACAATTAAATATGTTCAAGAAATATAATATGCCATTAAAAATGCTTTGTGTGTCATGTATATGAAAAATCTAATTTACAAAATGTGCAGACACTGGTATGGAAAATTACTTAAAGGGACACTATAGACATGATAACATGTTCATCTAAATGAAGTTGTTAACATGCCTGATGGTGCTGGAAGTTCACCTGAAGAAATCTTACCTTCAGAGCTTAAACAGTTTTCGAATGGTTAAACCACAAAGTTGCTTCTAATACTGATCTCAGCTCCACCACGGCAGCTTCCGGCTTCTGTAAATTCACTTATGGGATGCATTGGTGATTGGCCAAGAACAGTCAGCTGATGCTCTCAGCCAATCAGTGACTGCCTAGTCACAAAACTGACGTGGAAAAGGTACTTTTCTTTCCAAGCCAGTTTTGTGAATAGGGAGTCACTGATTGGCTTCACTTCCTGGAAATGAAATTACTGGCGCTGGAGGCAACTTCGGGGGTTAAATCATTTGAAAACGGTTTAACCCCTGAATGTAAGAGTTCCTTCAGGTGCCTCTTTGCACCATAACTACTTTATTTAGATGTAGTTGTTTTGGTGTATGACGTGTTCCTTTAATTTGTTGCAAGAGAGTAAAGCTGTGGACCTATAAGTGTCCTTAGTAAATTTTTATTTCATCATATAACAGTCCTACAGTTACAAGAAGAGAGCTAAAATACATGTTTTTTACAGCTCAATTACATATTGAATGAAAGTGTAGGTACACTAAAAACTGGGATGGGGGTGTTAGTTAATGAAGACCAGGAAAGGGCAAAAATGTTAAATAACTATTTCTCTTCCGTATATATTAAGGAAGAACCCATGGCAATAGATGTGCAAATGATTGCTGTTCAAAAATTGTAATTGCTGCACAGGGAGTTATATAGACTGGGCACTCAAATGGCAGATTAAATTTATTGTTGAAAAATGCAAAGTTATGCACTTCGGCATAAAGAATGCACAAGTAACGTATACTCTTAATGGAAGCGATAACAACACACGAAAAGGACTTGGGAATTGTTATAGACAACAAACTATGCAACAATGTGCAATGTCAATTAGCAGTGGCTAAGGCCAGTAAGGTATTGTCATGCATAAAAAAGGGGCATTCATTCTTGGGATGAGAATATAATTTTGCATCTTTATAAATCACTGGTAAGACCACCTCTTGAATATGCAGTGCAATTATGGGCACCTGTTCTAAAGAAAGATATTATGGCACTAGAAAAAGTGCAGAGGTGGGCCAAAAAAATTAATAAAAGGAATGCAAACGTATCAGCTATAAAGAAAGGTTAACAAATTTAAACCTCTGTAGTTTAGAAAAAGGTCGCCTCAGAGGGGATATGATAACATTATACAAACATATCCGGGGCCAATACAAACCATTGTGTGGAAATCTATTCACAAACCGGACTTGACATAGGAAACAAAGGTCATGCATTTAGACTAGAAGAAAGAAGATTTCGTCTAATGCAAAGAAAAGTGTTTTTTTTTTCTGTAAGAACAATAAGGATGTGGAATTCTCTGCCTGAAGAAGTGGTTTTATTAGAGTCCATGCAGATGTTCAAACAGCAACTAGATGCGTACTTGCAAAAACAGAATATTCAAGGATATAATTTTTCAATGTAGGATAATAGCTTCTTGATCCAAGGATAAATCTGACAGCCATTCTGGGGTCAAGAAGGAATTTTTTTCCTAGTTTGTTGCAAAATTGGAAGTGCTTCAAACTGATTTTTTTTTTGCCTTCTTTTGGATCAACAGCAAAAAAACAAATGTGAGGATGCTGAACTTGATGGACGCAAGTCTCTTTTTAGCTATGTAACTATGTAACATATTCAGTGAGAGAATAAGATTGTTAAGAAAGAAGAGCCTGATGAAAGAAAACGCTGATAGCATTATTATATGGTGTGTATGAAAGACGGACAGGGTGAGGATATTTCTGTAAGGAAAATTGCACTTATACTGAAACTGTACTCACGGGTCATAAGCCGCTAGGAGAAAGTTTAACATTAGGCTGATTGACTGTTCTACATTGATCTGGTGAGTGGTTGGCATCCGCTTGTTTAGCTGGTAAAAAATTGTTGACAACACAGCTTCCAGACGGGCAACATTCAGTTCTACATTTGGGTCCAAGTTGTTTAGTGAATTTTCTCGGAGAGCTTCTATAATGTTCCAGATATCTACCAGATGCACTGGTGAGAAAAGGGGGAAAAAAAGAAATTAGAAAAGAAAATCAAAGAAAGTCAATCAAATGGATAGAAAAATAAACATAAAATTTTTTTTTCAAAGGTGAAATATATTTGAGAATGAAGATTACACAAAAAACAGACATTTTTGTATACATACACATACATATCTTTTTTATGTTAGATTCTCACTTTTTTTTTTTCATACATTACAATGAATATTTTGCTTGGTAGTTCTGCGTATTATGTTTTTTTGTTTTTTTTTGTCTTACATATTATTAACTTGTATCTGGAAAGGCTGCAGCGGTCTTCCATGTTTTATTCCACAATAATGATGTGGAATTGTATTCCACAAATATTATTTTGATAAATTTTCTGATTGCTTTACTTTTTTTTTTTGTAATTTTTTTTTTTTTTTGCAGTGCATATTAGTATAAACAGGCCTGAGGTACCCCAATGGCAATCCTCAGGCTTCATGAAACATTGGATAGGGCATGCACAATTTTTTGGTTATAAACAGGAGATAAACAGGATAGTATAATTCCCAGGTAGGTCTACCCAGGCAAAAATCATGGTACAGGCATCTATTGGTGAGTTTGGCTATGAGACCTGCCAGGTTAGGTAACTTACACTAAAATCACAATACAATACAAGACTGTGTCGGTATTAAACACGCTCGACGTACATGAAAGGCATTCGTCCCGTGTAAATTGCTAAAAGGGCATCTATAGGTAGGTTGGGTAGTTAGGAGACCTGCCCCTTAGGAGTTACATGAGGTGCATGTACAACAACAGTTAGCACAATCCTATATGATCGTCTATCTTTTATATTCTGTATTTTAGGTGTGCAGAGAAGCATATTCAATTAGACAGTGACATTTGGTGTGAAACAAAATAAGCTATTACAAACCGATGGTTAGATCTCTGAATGTCTAATTAAGATACACACTTTAAAAGATAAAATAATAATCAAGAAACACAAACTAGCCATTTGTGATAGGTCTCTAGGATGAGAAACAAAACTGCTGAATCCTGCTAGCATGAAAATTATTACCGATTTAAAGCAGTAAGTATGAAATTACCTGCTGAACATAAACATGCTAGACCTTGCTAAATAAAACAGTCGAGTGACTAACAGTTGTAACTGCTCAGCAGGCCACCCCATGGTAACTGTGCTTAGAGTAGGCAAAGACAAAGTGAAAATCAGGGAAAACATATTAAAATAAACATATTTAAAATAAACTCTCTGTTTGGAGTTATAAAGATGACTTTGCTGTCCGTTTCTAATGGATGACAGAAGGGGACAGATAAAGGACAGTGATTCCCAGTGAGTAGTGATGTCCCGAACGGTTCGCCGCGGACGGCGAACATATGACCCTGTACCTCACAGTCAGCAGACATATTCCAGCCAATCAGCAGCATACCCTCCCTCCCAGACAGCTCACTAAGAATGCAGCTTCAAAATGGATGCTGTCCAGGAGGTGGAAGGGACTGGGAGGGAGGGTCTGCTGCTGATTGGCTGGAATGTGTCTGCTGACTGTGAGGTACAGGGTCATATGTTCGCCGTACGCGGCGAACCGTTCGGGACATCACTACCAGTGAGTCCATTCACAGTTCCCACCCTAACCAATGCCTTCAGGGTGTAGGAAACAGTCTGGCATGATGTGGAGATACCGGGAGCTGCTTGGGTTCGTTGCGGTCTCATTGTTGTCCTGCCGTCCCAGCCGGGGTATGTGCCGGGGTGCTGTGTGTGGTCTTCTGTGTATGGGGTCCTCTCTCCACTTCTCCCGAAGGGCATGTTGCTCAGCAGCCATGTGATCTGGGGTTTTCCTCCTCAGGTAAGCTTGTGATGCCTTCAGAGCCCTGGCTCGGTGGGTCTTCATTGCTGCGTTTCTGCAGGCACTCCATCTTCTCCTGTCAGGGTCCCGGGCCAGGTGGTTCCTCCGATATCTTGGGACCCGTCGGGGTCGTGGGCGCCTGATTAAGCATGCCCCCATGCGGACCCTCAGCTGAGAGCGAGGTCGATGAACCGGCTCGGCATCATGTTTTTAGGGCATTTCACGCTGTGCAGTGGTGGGAGATCTGTTGGAGATGCATTCCCAAAACTCCTCGCATATTTTGTCGAATTGAGTGTTGAAGCGCTCCCTCCATGTCATAGTAGGTATGCTCTCTTGGGGATGGGAGTGCTGTGATGCGGCAGCCATCTTGAGACCACCATGTGGTCGCTGGTACTGCGGGGGATTCTGCTGCAGTGAATAGGTGAGTTTCCCTAGTGTGGACCGGGATATCCCCCACCGGTCCAGAGGGGAGGGGTTGCGGGACTGCTCTATGAGTGTTGTTGCCTCCCCCAGGCACCAGGCTGCATACCAAGCTAGGCCTCATAGCTGGACGCTACAAAGACTCCACTTTACGGGTCAACTCGGGTACCTGCGTGTTCCTGCTCAGAGCCAGGCTGGATTATAGTTGTGGGAAGTTGCCTCCCAAGCAGAATTGAGCGAAACAGGCTTGTATATAGCTGTATTGTGCCGGAGTCTTCACAGAACACGTCCAGCCATCTTGGCTGCCAGGCCCCGCCCCTTACTTCATTTTTTATGCTAGTTACAAATGTTTTTTGTAACAAATGTATTTTTTTTTTTTTATTGTTATTCAGACATTTCTCCATGTTCAACGTTTTCTTTAATTAACCTTTTCTTTCACAGTGGGTGTTGTTATACCATGGGCTTATCATTAAATGTACATCTGTAACGCACAGTATTAATATATATGTAATTTGTCTTGCAGAACACATTTTGGGGAGTGAGTACAAAGAGTAATAATTCTAGGGGCAAAGTACTAGAAATAGAGCAATGTTCTGAGTGGTTCATTTATTTACTTTAAAACATTTCCCCAGAATTACTCTTTATATAGAACCTCGTTTATTTTAACCCCCAATGTTAAAGAACAGGCTTTTATGAAATTCATTTAATCTTATTTCACTTCTTTACTGCCAACAGGGCATCCATTTTAAATGCCAGGATTTTTATACAACACTAATGCAGTTTAAAATGATTATAATTTACTCTATAAATTGCCCTGGAGCTAATTACCCACTGTGATATAATGCATTACAGGAAATGTATTAAAGAAAAATTATTCACAAAACCAAGATCCGCATTTTGTATAATAATGTAATTAATTAATTATAATTTCTCCAAATTAATATAGGGGACAAGTCATTCAATCGGGAAACAAATGCCTTGTGTTTTGTCAGCTGGAAACTCCCATTAAAGTTTAGGCCAACAGTAACATGCTTCTGGCTTAGAGGAACACTCCAATCACCGTAACCACTACAGCTCACTGGTGTTCTCAGCCAATGAGCTCAAGGAAGTTCCAGCTCAGGAATATCCAGCTTTCTGGCATTGCAAGTAGAGGCAGGAATTGTTCAAACACAATTGGACTCATTTCAATGGGAATGGGGAGGGGGCATTGCACCAGGGCTGGAATCAAAACCACTACAGCGAGCTGTAATTGTTAGGATACTTGAAATGCTCCTTCAATGAATCACCATGTGTGGTTGTTTAACCGTCAAGACCCTCTGTCAGTTAGGGCCACGCTTAAAAGAACACCCCATTATTTAGAAGATATACTGTCAAATGGAAAAAAAGCAGGCTTTTTTCTCCACGTTTTCTTTAGGACTCTCCCAGGCTTTCTGATTGACAGCTGGGGAAGTGATTGTCACATCATGCCATGTTCTGCGGAGATGTCTGGCCTTGGCTTCTGGTATCCAGTACTCTTTTTAAAAGTCTTGTTTAGTTTTTCTGGTTTTCTATTCCATATCTGTTTTTCTTTATGCTGTGTTTTCTGGGTTCATTCCTGTATTCCCAGTCTCTTGGATTCCTTTAAATGTTTGTTTTTTGTTGCCACACCCATTCCTTTCCCATTAATCCTTTTGTTTCAGTCTGGTCCTGCAGCAGTGGTTTCATTTCCTCTGCTCATTTCTTTGCAGGTAAGTGCTGTGTGTGTTTGATTATTGTTTATTTGGTCATGCATATCTAGGCAATTAGGAACCCACCTTAATTGGAGTACTTTGACGCAGTTGGTGGGCTGCATACATCTTGGCCATTTATGTATGTCTAAATCTCCAATATTTATTACATATATAGTACTTCGTTTTGCCTTGCATCTCTGGTCTTGTTTTATTTTGTCTTGTATTCCCAGATCATGTGTAGTCCTGTCCTGCCCTGTTCATGTTTCCCTCATGTCTTGTGTGCATGTTCTGGATTCTGCTTTCTGTCCTGCTCCGGTTCTGGGTTCTTCTAGTCTTGTCTTGTTTTCTTGTTAGGTGCCTGTCCTAATCTTGCCTTGTTTCTGTACTGGATACATGTCTGCTGCAGAGCCCCCCTATCCAGTTCCTGGGAGGACTGCATACCAAGCTTCTAGTTCTTGAGTTCCGCAGTAGCTGCATTAGGGCCTTGGTATGTGGCGGAACAAACGCTGGTGCTCAACACCAGGGGGCGTGTGGTTACCCTACACCCGGCCCTGATAATCCACTTCCACGCTGAAGACTCCCATATCATCATCAGGGTTCCGGTTTCCGTACCGTCACCCGTGATAGTGATGGAGCAAGGATTTATAAAAGTGTTAATTTCTAGTAAAGGAACAGGTGATAGAAGTCACTATCACTGTGAACTTCATGTAGGTCCCTAGACAACTCATGTTTAATTCACTCTGTGACCATTATAGGTGCAGGGTGTGTTTATTGTTATTTCTTAAATGTTTTGTTCTTGTCCTGGTCTCTACCAACTCGGGGGATTTGACTGAGGAGCCTGTGCAGCACCACCTGTTGGTCGTTAACAATCTTGCACGCCTTCAACCATAGCATAAGTAATGAAAACAAGGAGGGTGTGTAAGGCTGGAACAGGCACTTAGGGGAAAATCCGTTAATAATAGAATTAACAGACTAAAGAAAGACAGACAAAGGCACCCGTGCATGGCCATAGATATATTAATATGAATGTTATAGTGTATATAAAATGAATGGAATCAAGGAGGTCTTAGCTAAGAAGGGAAACGGTATGTCCAAAATGAATCTAAATGAAACAATAACATGACTGCTGACCCCGGCCAAAAAAAAAAACACCACCCGTTGCCCAATAAATACACAACACCTTTTGTATGGGTAAGGGCAACGGCCACAGCTTTATTAATAGATTATCACCAGCGTCCGCAACCTGTCAGCTGTTGGGGGGATTACCAACAGACAGCTCTATCAAAATGACCCACGGGTCCAGAGCAGCCTGCCCCCGCCATCAGCTATCAGCAGGCTGCAACTCCCCAAGCCACTTGGGCACTTCCCTCCAATTCTCTTCGCTGGCCAGGACTACCGCAAGCTGTGACAAAACAAAGTAAAACAACAGCAGCACCATCGTAAACATGTTTTGGGTGGGCGGGAAGCTAGCAACACTACACCTCTGCCCGGGAACTGGTGAGGACCCTCCCCTTTCTCCCCTTCTTAATGTACCCCGGGTGCCACAATGTATCCCCTTATGAACCAACCCTTTATCCCTGCCAGCAGTCATGTCCTCCTTTCCTTATGTTTCCAGGGAGGTACTGGATGATGTATATAGTGCTTAGTATCCAATTGAAAGATTCTATAGCAATTAGGAAATAGTGGTGAAATGGGGAATAAGCGCTCTCAAAATTAGAAATCAGCATTTATCCATCACTTATAATAGTATCCTGTCTGCAATAAAAAGTAACAGCAAGGATATCAAGCTTACCATACACATGTATTTATTCATGGGCTAGTGGGTGGACAATATATTTAGCTCAAGTAAGCACAGAGGGTGACAGCCTGGGATTCTACAGAAAATATAAAAATGACTTGATATTGATATTGTATAGCAAAGTCTCAAAGTTACTAGTATTAAAGGGACACTATAGTCACCAGAACAACTACAGCTTATTGAATATGTTCTGGTGAGTAGAATCATTACCTTCAGGCTTTTTGCTGTAAACACTGTCTTTTCAGAGAAAATGCAGTATTTACATTACAGCCTAGTGATAACTTCACTGGCCACTCCTCAGATAGCTGTTAGAGATCCTTCCTGGGTCATGGCTGCCTAAAATGCATCCAAACATTCAGTGTCTCCTCCCACTGCATGCAGACTCTGAACTTTCCTCATAGATATTCATTGATTCAATTCATCTATATGAGGAGAAGCTGATTGGCCAGGGCTGTGTTTGAATTGTGCTGGCTCTGCCCCTGATCATCCTCAGGTAATCCTATGGGGAAGCATTGTGATTGGATCAAGCTACCACTTCTGATGATGTCAGCAGACGGTTCATTTTTCTGAGTCTAACAGCATGCAGAGTTACAGCTTCTGGCTTTAAAACAGTATGATTTTGCTATATTTATGGAGGCATGAGGGTAGGGGGGGCTAAATGGTGGGTTTAACACTATAGGGTCAGGAATACATGTTTAACACAAAAGAGGAAGATAACTCACTGATAAGGAATATAAACAAATCTTCCATCAAGTACCTGGACTTTGCAACAAGTTATTTTGGAATAATAAAATCAAATCAATAACCGTTTAGAAAAAGCTTACAGTAGTATCTGAAAGTCAATGCAATTGGTTGGGATGTTTCAATTATCACACCGCTGCATCCATCTTCCAAGCAATGAATGAGCTCTGCAAAATTTGTTATTTCAAAAACAAATTGCCATCGATTCGTACTGTGGCGTATGCTTACTATCTAGTAGTTTAATGTAATAATGTTTTCAATTTAGAATTTCCCATAACAAGGCTACAAACCTGTGAATATGCTATAGATTTATGGAGCTATCGTAATAAATAACACTCCTTTTTCATTTATATATAGCAGCGATGACAACTCCTACTAGATATTGTGGAGCACATTTCCTATGGATATAAATGTAGACTACACACGTTATAAGAAGTTAGATATCACAGCTATAAAGGCCTCTGGTTTCTACATAACACAAAGTGATTGCA